GAGTCTACTTTAATGAAATCTGTATTTGTTTATCTAAACGACTTTTGATAATGATAATGATATTTACATATTTTCTGCATTTCTTATCCACCATGCAATGAGCGCAAGACGTTCCAATTTTATTCCGGCTCTCGCTTAGCTATAAATGTTTGTGCTTACAGCTTTCAAGGTATTCTTTCCTACCGGTATTCATTGACACTCGGGTGGAAAGTGGCAGACGAAGATTAAGGTCTTCCAAAAAGGGCACCAGTGTCGCGCCGGGGCTCGAACCAACGACCCTCGCATAAAGACCAGTCAAAGGCTTCAATCACTCGACTTGCGACACCTCATTAGGTGCGGGGCATCTGAATGTTTTTATGGTTTAGACCACTTACACTAAAACCAAACAACCACAGACGATAAGATAATATATAAAAAAGACGGACTTTTCCATTCTTCATTGAAGTTTAATGGATCCAATGACTATGTACCCTCTACAAACAATATAACTTTGCCAAAAATATGGAACAAATGCACATGAATAATTCATATCCTCATAATCATGATAGTTGTACCTTGTACATGTATCTTATTACTTCTAAGCGCCCCCCCCCCCCCTCCCCCCCCCAAAACAAAAACAAAAACAAAAACAAAACAGTCACCATTGTCACTGAATCATACGTATGTTTACATGTATAATGTGAATAATATGCCAGGGGGGTTTTCAATCATTGCAAATCCAACATAATTGGGGAAATTTTTTTTTTTTAAATACAACCCAAAACAGCCTTTCCTTTTTTGGCAATTTGTAAATTGTGTAAATATCGTTCACTTCATTTAAATAAAAATAAATAAATTTAAAAAAAAATCATAATTGCAAGGCATGGTTTTGACCACGCGTCTGCATGGCTGCCACTACGCACAGCACGTTTTTCCAATGAAAGGATACCTTACGACACAAACGATAATCAATGGTCAAGTGTTGACCACCTGTTCACAAATAACAATAAAAAGGTCAAGGTTCAGAAAAATCACATAATGAGAATCGAAAAAATTCACACGATTTAAACCAATCAATAACAATAAAAGAATATTATCGTTTCGGTTAAAAAGCATAGTTGTATAAGCGAAATATTTCTAATCGATTTTTAATTTTTTTTTTTTTATGGCATGATTGGGGTGAACTAGTCTCTGATGTCTATTTGTTTCGAGTTCAAAATTCGGACAAATTTTAGATATATGCAAGTATCGTATCGAGTTGCTGTGGGTGTGGAAGAGAAATTTAAAAAAAAATTGATTTAAACAAACAGACAAATGATGAAGAAGCTGTCGATTTTAGATGCTGAAATCAGTACATGTAGAAAAATGTCAAATTGGCAAAAAGGCAACGGGAATTCAACTCCCCCGTTTACTTTAAGAAGGAATACAAGTTTCCGGTTGCACTTAGGAAACATTTCCCTTGGGACTGTATTGAAATATACATGTCGGATAACTTGTTGTAATGTGGTGTCCAATAAGAGAAGAATAAAACATGCGAGGAAAGGGGAGTCATCTTATTTATTTAAAGAAACGAATTGAAGAGTTTCAATAAAAAAATCAATAAGGTCACAAGGCTGTTTTCGCCAGGTTGAGATTTCCATTTGGTAAAATATTCACTTTGTGTTTCTGTGATTTGCCTTTGTTCGTGACGGTGATAATGATGACGCGCGTACGCAGGATTTTTTTCAAGGGGGGGGGGGGGGTTTAACATTTATAAATCGGGCCGAAAATTTCGCAACGACTCAGAACCAGCCGCTGAATAAGCGGGGGGGGGGGGGGGGGGGGGGGGGGTAAGAGGTCATTTTTTTTTTTTTTTGGTCCCCAAAAAATCGCAACGACTCAGCCGACCGCTGAATAAGGGGGGGGGGGGGGGGTAAGAGGACACTTTTTTTTTTGGTCTCGAAATTTAAAAAAAAAAAAAAAAAAAAAAAAAAATCCAAATGGGGGGGGGGGTTTACACACAAAATAAATCCAAAGGGGGGTTAACCCCCCTAAACACCCCCCCCCCCTGTGTACGCGCCTGATGACGGTGATGACAATAATGATACTGATAGTGATGTTGTTGATAATGTCGATGATAATGATGCTGACAATGACCATGACGGTGAGAACCATGATTATGTTGATGATGATGATGATGATGATGTTGATGATGATGATTGTCGTGATGATGATGATGATGATGATGATGCTGATGATGATAATGATGATGGTTATGATCATGCTGGTAGTAATGAAAACCATTAAACACTCGCTCCTCCTGGAGAAAAAAAAATCCCTGTCCTCATCCTGAAAACAGAATCCAGGTATCTTCCTTGATTTCTCACCCACTATATGCTTCTCCCCCACGCATTCATTGTCATCATCAGTGCATTTGGCTATGCGTGATGGTCTCTACGACAAGTCAATTTTCGACCCATCCCTACCTTCAATCTATGCCTAATATCGTCTCTGAAAAACGCAGTGCAATTTCGAAACATAGAACGTACTAAACTCTCGTGACTATTTGGTATTTGAGGGGATATATGGTTGTTCGATCATCATTACGAGCATCCATGTTCCTGCACGTTAAAAAGCGAATCCTCGGATCTTCTCATTACGTTTAATGTCCTGCGCTGGTGATGTTGTGCTACCCTATTATAAAAGCGAATTTGGAGAAGAATATTTTTTTGTAAAGTAAGAGTTAGGGAACGGGTCGTACTGGCATTAATTCCACTAATTTTTTCTCGAAAATGTTTACACTTCACTCAAAATTGTTTTCATCAATCAAAATTGTTTTCACCAAACGAATTTACTACTAATTAAGCCGAGGACGATTTTAGATAGTAAGCTTAAAAGTGTGCGAAGTTCTAACTAGCTTTAGACATCCATCCTTTCGTTTACAAATTTGGGATACCTTTTCCATGTCCCCTCCAGTCGCCCCCCCCCCCCCCCCCAAGCTCTTCACCCGTCTACATGCCCTGGATTCAGCCTGACCTATACTTTAATCACAAATAAATCAAATTTCAAAAACACTCCCACTCTATATCCGGCACTGCAAATCAACAATGCGAATACTTCAGCGGACTTAAAATTTGTCAAATGAGGTTATCATGAGATGAATATCGACACCTTCCCGTATAACAAAATGCGAGTCTTAATTAATACGAATGCAATGTTTCACATACAACAATACTTTTGCTTATCTCTACACTTCTTAGCCCCATTTAATGTTTTGTATTAACATGATGTGTACTTTATCGATGGCGGGTAACACTAACTACGCATAGTGTGATGAACGATGGACTAACAAAGACTGCTATCAACATCTTTAAAATTTCCCATCTATCAACATTGTTTTGTAGACTTTTACTAAATTCCCTAATCGTATAAGCAGAAGTCGTTGTAGTTCTATCTTGCATTAGGGATGGCGCTTTTCTCCTTTTCTTTTTTTGCCTCCGGGCATTTCGAAACTGACATCGCATACACGCTGTCGCACTCAGCTATCTTTCTGCTAACTCTTCTCACTTTCTCCGCCGATCTCTCACTTTACAATACAAATGTCGGCGGTTTATTGGATCTTAGCGCATTATAATTGAGAGAAGATACCCGGCATTTGATGAGAAAGCCGGTCGACCGTCACCATCCTACATTCGTCCTGGAATATCCATTTGTCTGCGGGCGCCAGTATTTTTTCGGCGGGAAACAGGAAAGGCAAAGTTGACATGTCATACGAATCGCCTGCTGAGCTGATTTCAAATTATTGCACAAGTGGCTACGACTCATCAGTTATGTGTAAAACTGAAATTTGACAAAAACATTGCTATCCTGTAATCGAAAGGCTTGTTAAATTCATCAACAATTAGTGATTAGCAGTGTTTAACGTTAAATTATGTAGAAATCAATGATGCTAAAGCCAAATATATTGATTGTGTCTTAATACACGTTTATTCGGCTTAGATAGAAATTCATTTTTTACGGGGATCGACTTTTCAGATAGTTTCGAGATTTGAATCAAAACTTGTTTGGGCTTGTATCATTATGACGCCGATGATGGCCTTTTGATCTCATTGGTTATATCAGAAAATAATCTATAAATGGCCGTTTTGTTCCATCGGTACTCGTTATGAAAAATGTCTGCACAGTACAATTGTTATGTTTTTACGATAAAATGGCGCCATGTCATGTGTTGTGAATCTTCATCATCTCAAATCATCTTAAAGCCTGTCTGCACTAGTTTGGCCAGGAGGGATTAAACATCCCTGCAAGGTCACTGACAGGTGGTTATCTCATCAAATCAGCTCTCAAATAGCATAAGAGAAAGGGGGCATGAGGGACCAACGGGTACCGCTTAAGCATTGTTTGCTATATAGAGGGCGCAGGTAGCTACAAGTAGTGCAGTTCCGCTTTAAAGATCATCACACATAACTTAGATTGATCTATCATTGCCAATGACCTCTCAAGGCCTCATATCTTATCACCACCTATCAGACCATAACATTAAATCAAATGTAAAATGCTTCATTGAATTGTGAAAGGTCATAAATTAATACGAATTTTTCTCAAAGTACGCCGACCTCGGCTTTACCTGTCAGAAAGAATAATAAACATTAATATATTTTTTTAAAGCTTAGAGATGAGCTTTTATAAGAAAGGATTGACAGTCAATTATAATGATTCATCTTTATTTCTTATTTTGTTTAATACTTTGATTTTTGTGTCATTTTCCCCTTTCTTATTATATTAATCGTATTATTACATTTAAATATTCGTTTTCAATAACAGGCTTTGAATTACAAACACTCAAATTTTTTAAAATATCATAAATTTATGAAAAAAGAATAAGAAACCCAAGTAAGAAAGAATAACATGTAAATGAATATCTAAGTAATCAGTTTTAGTATCCCAATTCCGTATGTTGGTTCTTGTAGCCAGATAATAATGATGTGCTTTGTATATTTGCATGGTTATTCTAGTATCTTCCTACGTTGTTTTATTTGCAGGTATCAAAACGGGCAGATGTGTAAATGCAACACATCCCAAAACAAAAGAAGCTACCACAGTCTGTGAAGTCAAAGCCTGGTGTCCAGTGGAAGTCGACATAAGACCTTTGTAAGTAGCACTAAGTCCTTATTTATTCTATTCTCCTCATCCCTTTTTATGAACCGCACCTAGAAAACGACTCCGCCACTGTTCAAAAGGTTCATAATTATCAACAAATTATTTTGTTAATATTTTACATGGCATTGCCTAGAGGCAATGTCGTTGCACAATACTTGCGTGATTTCACGATATTCCAGGTCATATCAATAATGGAGATTACATGAAATATTCCCAAGGAATTTGTTTAATCGTTCTGCTTATTTGTGCATACCAAATGTTGTGCCTATCGGCAATCATAGCAAACTAGCTAATGTGCCATTTCGGCGAATGTTGTAGATAAAAGGTCATTCGAGCATGTAGTGCATAGGAATTGGTGGATCTTGTGTGGGTTGAGAGTCACTGACATTACGCGAGGTTTGCACAATCATGCTTAAAGACCAACGGCACACATAATGTGACATGAATGATTGGTCCAACCTTTTCAGCTGTTTCTCGTCATATCTCTAATATCAGAGCATTAGAAGAGCAATCATTTTCAGGATATTACCACTATGATATTCTCCCAAGCTAAAATAAAAAAGAATGAAAATAATCACAAGTTATTTGTAAACTTTCTCTTTAAACACATCACACACAGAACTATCCAACTGCGATCTTATTTGTAATCAATTGTAATATCGGTTCATATGAATGTTTAAACATGTAAATGTTCATATTCACTGACGATATGGGGTTCCGAAATTTTACTTCCTATTAAAACTTCGAAGGAGTTGATATCTTCCGGTTGAAGAAAATGCCAAACTCTTAACATCAAAATTGAATACAGACTGGCAACTGGTCTGACGTCATTACGATTCGCAGCCAATCAGGGCGTATCCCGACTAGAAAGTCCATAGTACTTCGTGTTACTATTCATATGACTACTCAAGGATGTCCATCCTCAAGAATTGTTTTATTTTTTTTCATTCACATGGCGATTGCATATCACTTACATTTTCTTATACATGATGCATCAAAATTATAAGGTATACCGTTCTTTTGTGTAGATAGTTTATGTGTTTGCGAGTGCGTACGTCAGTTTGTGCATGTGCGTGTGTGTCCGCGCGTGTGTGCGGTTGTATGTGTGTGAGCGCATGAAGTTTGTTCATATCTACGGCAGATTTGTGAATTTGATTTGTCATGATTATACACTTTTACAGCCTTTTTTACCATTTATAACGTCTTTCTTTTAAATGGATAATCCTATTTCCACCGTACATATACCCCAAGGACTTTTTGTTTTTTATCTTTTAATTAGCCGTATAAAATGGGATTGAATTATATTGAATTATAAATCCTATCACCATAATCACAGAGCAAGAAAACAATAATTGAACACGAGAAAGGTTATGTATTTCATTTTCTGAGAGGTGTTTCGTCCTCGGTATAGGGTCCAAGGAAAATACTTTTCTGGCTACACTTGAGAATTCAGAAAATCGTAAGAGAAGAAAGGTTAGTCTTTGGGCGAATGACCCATCCTATTAAGACTTTCTACTCCTATTTCGTGATTCCGCTAGGCGTTCTCCATTTCGCTCCTTCTCCCTTCCGCATCTTCTCTTTCCAATTTTTGTCCTTCTTCTCTCTTTCTCTTAATTCTTGTCATTTTCTTTCTTTCTACGTTTTATTCTCTCTGTCTCTGTTTCTCTATCTCTTCATTTTTTTCTAATTATCTTTTATCTTTTTTGTCTCTGTATTTCTCTTCTCCCTTTTCTCTCTCTCTCTCTCTCTCTCTCTCTATTCTCTTCTCTCTTTCTATTCTCTTATTTTTTTTTTCTCTCTCTACCCTCATCTCTCGACCCATGATTTCTCTCTTTCTCTCTCCCTTCTCGCTTTCTCTTCTGGTCAATTTTTGGGGTGGCAATATCCCTAAATTCAATCTCAGCGACACAGGTATTTTGTAACAATGCGGGCTTTAGGCCACACTAATCACTTTGAAATTTGCCTCAGATTGAATTCCTCTGCATGTGTCTTGCACCCTCTTTTCTCCCTTGCAAACCTAGATCAAATCGAATAAGCCACAAATGTCGAAGGGACATCTATAATCTTATCTCGTTTTCCCTCCATCGATTAGCGCGCAAATAAGGAGACGATGAAATCCGCGCCAAACCGACTTGTAGTCTGCGCTGAAGCTAGCGGAATAAACACGTCTGGTCATCTTAAGGCGGCCGTTCGTCAAATTAGCAGCAGAGTACGTTCTGTGTTTACCCCTGTAAACTAGGCATTTTCGGATGGGATCTTCAGTTTGCCCAAGCTCTTTGGCGTAATGAACGAAGGATGTGGGCTTTGTGACTCCTCGAATTAGGATGCCCCCGGGGTGTTCTTGGGAAGGAAATCACCATGATTATGGTAGATTAATGCATTGGAATGAGGCGAGAATTAAACGTGTTCGCTTTGTGGCAATGGGGCCTGAAATCAACGGAAAGGTTGCCACCTAGATATTGGGTGAGCTCGGAAGGTCGTAATTTGACGGTCACTCGTCTCCGGAGAAGGAACTTCGCAGAAACTTTAAGAAGCTGTAAGCGGGTCATGATTGCGAACTCGAAGGGAAAGACAAAGAGGTCCTTGTAAATTTAATTATAGTATAGAGTGGCATGGTGAAGCATAACTTGACGAAATTGCGCTTAAATTGACCTTCGTTGAAAAGGCAAACTGGGAATTTGAAAACTTTGGAAACTGTTACAAGTAGGTTCCGGAAATAGAGTTCTGCTAAAACTATTCCTGTCTGTGTATTCATTAACATTATTAAAACTCTACCCAGTTACAAATTGTTATTTAGTGTAACATATGCACAGAAATGGTTAGAGATGGCGTTGAGATAAGTAATCCAGTATCCCTTTTATGATATTTTAGCTCTTCATCTTTGCGCAACCTAATGATGATTTACATGCATCTGTCGGGAACACAGTCACTTCTTAATTTTGCTAACAGGAAAAGGACGTCGAATTCATGTATTGTAATGCCTGGTAAGCACCCTACTAGCTGTCAGCAGCCGTTAGGCAGCATGAACCTTGAAGCATTCTTCATAATCTACCCACTTCTTAGCACCCATCATCCTCCCCCTCTCCATCCAAATAATGTCTAGAAGCATTGATGTAGCTTTAAATGGCAAAGGGGGCATGAGCCTTTTTCTCCCCAAGAAGTGGTGAAAAAAGGGGACAGAAAAGACGAGCGAAAGAGAGGGGAGAGCCAGAGGGAGATAGATAGAGAGAATGAGAGAAAGAAAGAAGGGAGTGTGGAAACGAACATATGATACGACCCCTCCCGCACTCTAACCCGTTGGTCTCGTTAGTTTGCTTTTCATCCACTTCGTGAGACCTGTACTCCCTCCCTTGATACCAATAGCCTGGGTCTACGCCACTGTCTAAAGCCTGGGCTTGACGGTAACTCTTATCACGTCGATGGAGCAATAAAATTCAAGAATCCGCTCAGGAATCGACACTTCACTTCTCAACGAGCCCCTCTTTTGACGACGGGATTCTTCAAGATCTCACCTCATCTTGGCGGTTGTTCAAGGTCATGTGTCCATCTAGGGCATAATCATGTCTTCAGTGCCGGGGAGAATCATGTCCTAAATGCCATTCTCTCTGTCACTTGTTGATCCGTCATCTATTTTCATCTTCGCTTTCAATCGCTTTCCATCGCATCCTATCGTCCATTTCTAAAAATATGACCATAAAGTCGCTTATCTTATTTTCGTCAGGAAATAGCCTACTTCTACAATTATCCGGTCTGCGGGGAATGTATCTATCCATGTAAAATCGTCACATGCATATATATATATATCTTCTCTGTCTCTCTCCTTTCTCGTTCCACCACTCGTCAGGATAAGATTTTCATCCCCCTCTCGCTACGGGCTTCTAGTTGTTTGTGTTCGGCAAGTATTGGAGACAAAAAAAATACCTTGCTCTATCAACATATCCCACTGCTTCAGATCAGTCTGATAAGGGACGCCAAATAAAACTTAAAGATGTCATTTGAACAGATTATTTATTGTAAAAAAGGATTATGACGTCAAACAATAGTAGACCATAAAATCATAATGTCTTTTGAGTAGAAAATACGGAGTCACTACTTGAAATATAGACTGATCTTATAAGCGAACATTCTATAATGATTACAAAACAAAACTTTTACTTTCTTTATTTCTTGTTACGTGCTATTGAAATTCTGCAATTGTATTGTTTTGTTCACAATCGGTTCTTCCTCAATCACATAAAAGAACCTTTTTAAAAGTTGGACTGCAGACCCATTTATTTTGAACTTTTTAAAGATCTTCACATTACGTCATTCTCATAATTGTACATACGTCATAATATGATGTATCAATGCATATATTTCAACTAGCAAGCCCAAAAAACGAATAATCTAAAGGGCAAATAAAAACTGTTTTCCAGCAAAAGATTTGTTTTCCATCCGCCATTAAATGATAAGAAACTTACATATTTTTCAAACAGGTACATTTCTCGAAATTAAACACGCTTTTTTTTTTAAAGAATCGATCAAAGATACACGAGTTCTGCATCCACTAAAATACGTATTATTCACTGTGACATCACGGAACTCGATAGGTCTTCGCCCTGACCAAATGTATTCGATCGAAGCAGTATAAAATAATATTTTGAGTCCTCAATAACACACAATCAAACCAATAAAATATTGTTTTGTGTGTCGGTCTAAGATGACACATCGTGTGTACTATGAAAGAGGTCAGGGCTAACTTAGGCGGGTAAATGAAAATGAAAAGCAGGGAAACTGACTAGATTTGCAGCCGATATCAGACAGTTCATAACCCACTCGTTCATCCCATTGTTGGCCGTGCTCCAAAACGCGGTCTCATGCTTTGACATTTTTCCTGCAGAATTTGTTTAGCCTTCAGCATGATTATGCGATGATTGTGTAACGTTCTCTTACTGTGTTCTGAAAAGGGAGAATCAAAAAGTAGGAGCATCTTTTCCCTATACCCATGAAAGAAAGCAATGCAACATACAAACGTACGCGTTTGTCTGTCAAGAGTATCATGTGTTCATTTGTTCATGCCCTGCTCTAAGCAGACGACAAACGTGTAGTGCAGTCCCATATGAACAATTTGACGTGAGCTCTTCTCGACATTATAACGTGTTTAGATTATTGGATGCCCCCATTATGATGTAATTTGGAACCACCCTCCCCCGTGTGATCGAATTAAAAACAAGAATAATGACCCCCCCCCCCTCCCCCTTCCTGACAGAGAGTTAACCGGGTCGTGTTGTTGGGCCGGGGCAATTATCTTACATTATCCCGACCAACAACTTTAAATTATCTTAAACGATTTTTTTAAAATGAAGACGATTTGTTACCTTTGATTCGATCATTCGTGGTTTATTACTTTTAACTCGATCAACCCCTTGGAATTAGCATATTCCGAAATTTAGAGGGTGAAATACTATTATGCAAGCATCTTTTGAAAACTGTCTCCCCAAAGACTTCTTTTTTAAAATCAAATTTGAAACATTACAATTTAAAGTACCAGCTCCTTGAAATTGAAATAAAGCCCTTAAAATTTTAAGCATAATATCGAAAAAGTATGCAAAATTACCTCTTTTTTTTTTGGGGGGGGGGGGTGGAAGTTGTCAAACATTTCAGAGAAAAAGGAAAATATGCACATGAAATCAACGCCCCGGCAAATTTACCCGGATTTACGACTCGTATCGAATTCGATAGGACAGAAGTTTTTCAAGAAAACAAAAACAGACATTATTCACGTGTTGAGATAAGGTTGTAGTCACAATGCACCAAAACTAATCCAGTTTGTTGATTGCCGAGACTAAGGTTACGCTAAACTACTCCGAATTTCATCAAATATTGACAGTTATCTTCCTGAGTTCGCTCAACTACCGTGTCACATACAGTATAACAATTTAGTTGAAACACTTTGGTGAAAGAATTCGTTTTTTCCTTCCGTAAAAAACTCTCTCCCTCTCTCTCTCTCTCTCTCTCTCGCTCTTGTTTTCTGTCTCTCTCTTTCTGTCTCTCTCTCCATCTCTCTGCAGGTCTAAAATCTATTTTGTATAAAGAATTTCAAGAGAAAAGATTAATCTTTCGAGCTATATGTGCTACAAATCTCAGATACCTCCTCTCTCATTTCTCTCTTGGACGGTATACATATATTGACATTTATTTTCATCATCATGACAATATATACAAAGATAAAAAGATATAATATCATAACAGATAACAATATAAAAAAATACATATTAATTGACATAATAGCATTCAAAATTAAAGGGGAGGGGTATATTTTGATATGAGAGATGTAGTCTTTAAAAAAAAGTATGCACTTTAAAAAGAGACCACCACTATCTGTCTAACTAAACAGGTGTATTGACTTTGGAGGTATAGTAGGTAATTTGAGGAGAATCGTTGCATTAATGACGCTATTTTGTAACAGACGAAAATAACAAATGTAGTGTTAGAAACATTCAAAGACAACTTATATTATTGCAAACCAATCAGTCGTTTACATACTACAGATAAGAATCAGTTTATCGGTTAAAAGATTATTTCAGGCAAGAAAAGTCGTATTATCTGCAAAAGGTGTAGATTATCAGAAAATGGATCAGTTTACAGTATCATTGATGTAACTGAAAAATAACAGAGGCCCGAAAAAAGAGCCCTGTGGGACGCCGTATGATATTAGATTTTTTTTTTAACTATGAGAATGTTATTTATATCTACCGCTGATATTTCACATCCTCTCTCTGTCTCTCTATCTATCTCTATCTCTCTCTATATATCTCTCTCTCTCTCTCTCTCTCTCACACACACATACACACACACAGATATGCGCGCGGGCACCTTTTCTCTTCTGACTTGTTCTCTCTTTTCCCTTTCTGCCAAACTCTTCCTCGTATTTCTTTTTCGTTCTCTTGTCTATCTCTCCATCTCACTTTCTCTGTCTCTATCTCCTCCAAATCTACCTTCTCACTCTTCTTTTTGTTCGTATCTCTGGTTTCATGCGAGCACGGCTTTAACACGTTTTATATGCCCTTTGTCTTGGTGCATACAACAACTAACTTTTGTTTTTGAAGCTGTAAAGGTTTGCCAACTTATGCATTCATCAATTCCTTGGCGATCTTGGCGATGTCTCTTTTTCTGTGCATATAATCTTCATTATACTCTCAAAGTTTTACATATCCTAAACCTAAAAATAGTTTTGCGATTAAAATTCGCCAGCAAATCCTGTTGGTAACCAAATGGAGCCGTGGCGGTCTGCCAAATCTAATGTTGAAGTTTATTGATATGTAGCGGGTAATAAGCAGTGATCGTTAGATCTTCCAAGTGATTTACTACCGCCATACAGTGCCTTTCATCTTCATCGTGTTTCGCTGGTTAGTGACCCTACTAAATCTTACGGTGAAATCTTGATTGGGAAATGAAATACAGCTATGGTGCGCTTCATATCCCTGTCACTGAGGACAGGAGTTGGCATTAGAAATGTCGAAAGCCATTTCGTCCAATCCCCAAGTCAATATAATCCAAATGAACAAGTATTGCTAGAAGAATAACCTTTTTCAGCAATGTATGACGGAGGGCTCTTTTGTGACAATATCCCTTGATTCCGAATGACCTTTCAAATCGCACAAAATAGAAGAATATTTCGGAATCATTATGCGGAAAATTGAACGATGATTAGAGTTCGTTGAATAAATAAAGGATTATGCAGATACAAGGAGACTTGAAATTGTCTGCCCGAAGGATATTTGATTATATATTTCTACAAACTCAATTGTAGGAGAATACGAAACAACCGACCAAAGACTTTGTTTTTTTATCAATGAGTTGACTTTGGAAATATACACTTACTGGCATTAGTGTTTTTTAATTTTGTTATACAATGACCGCGGTAATGATATTATGCAATACACTGTTATCACTTTCTTGTGACTGGACAAGCATTGTGTTGATACAAGTTTTGATATTTCTTTCGTCATCTCTCTCTATTTCTCTCTCTCTCTCTTTCTCATTTCAGATGGACGTCAGCAATTCTGGAAGAAGCGGAAAATTTCACAGTTCTCATCAAGAATTCTATTTCATTTCCTAAATTCGGATTTGTCAAGTGAGTATTCATATTGGATTCCTTTCAGATCTGAAGTTATGATTACAAACTGGCCATCGAGCAAAAAACAGATAAAATAAAATGGATGTGTGCATATTTTTCAAAGCTGTAAAACATTATGTTGCAAATGTATTTGGAAAATCAGTTTACTGTGAAAAGTAAGACTGACAAAAAAGAGAACATAGTTTGACGTCGATAATGAATTTGGATCCAAATTTTCGTGTGAGCGTACTTTTAGACAATGTTCTCCTATTTTTCGTGAAGAAATGTAGTATTATTGTTAATATTCGACTGCTATTCGAACAATTCCAGCTAAATAAAAATATTTCATTGTCTTTAAGAAATCCATGTAGACATATTTTCAGCCATCTATTCAATATGTTTGTATAGCACTGATAAAGAGAATGATAAACTTTCCCTGTTCAATGGATTCATTTCACAAATTATACCACAAATTAAACACTGTGTTGAAGCGAAGTGAACGATTACTTTCACGAAATGCTTAGTATGCTATGTAGTTTACCATGCGTTTTAAAACTATTTCATTACCATACAAGAATATATCATATTAAGAAGCTCAAATTATTCAGAATGAAGGTCTTTAACATAATATGCTATTCTCTTTTTGGTAGAATATTTTCAACTTTAACAATTTAATATATATCAAGCAATTATCCGTATTCACATTTGACTCGTTCAAATATGACGCGGTTAAACTGCCTCGTTTTTTGTGACGTAATTAGTGAGAAGCTTTACATTCCTGTAACCGATTACACACTGCTCAGTGAATACGGACGGGCAATTGTTGCTCGCAGTTGCCATACATTTATAAATAAAACAATACACGGCGGTTTTGTGCAGCGGTTGACCGCATCATATCTGAACTTTGTTTTTGGGTCCATGGCTGTACACTGTTGCTATTTTGACCTCCGTTTGCCAGTGTGCCTGTTTATTGGGGGCGGATTTCCGCACCACGTGTAGGCCTTAAATATTTTAACGTGCATTCATCAATCTCCATTACTATTTCGATTGATATTGCTTTACAGGAGAAATATTTTGGAAACAACAGACCTGTAAATATGATCGTTGAAGTTTTATTTCAAATCATTTTTAGTTTTAATCAGAAGACAGAAAAAAATCCTTGTTTCTATCAAAACGTGGACGTAGAAAGTTGTGGAGCTAATATTCACAACATGAAAGTACATGGCATCGATAATTTAAGAACTTGCATTAAATAATCTCCATTTTGATCTCTTTCCATTTTTTTTCACAGACGAAATATTTTGGATACGACAGATCCTATGTATCTAAGATCGTGTAGATACAGCCGACTCAAAGACCCACTCTGTCCTATATTCAGGCTAGGGACTATTGTAGCAGAAACGGGACAAAGCTTTAGACAAATGGCGATTAAGGTAAAATTATTTGTGTTTTGTGTGATTTTGTTTTCGGATTTTGATATCAGTTTCGGTTATTGCCCTTATGGTACGAAATAGGGAATGATAAAAAAAAAATTCTTTCGCTTGCAGTGAAAAGTCTTTTTCATTATGTTTTGATTCTTTCTTTTGTTAAAGACATAGTAGTATTTGTATTGTTTTTATTTGTATTTCCCAAAGGAAATTGGGTGTTTAAATAATGATATCTATTATCAGTAACGTCATCATGAAAACACTTGTTGGTTTATCAGAGATATCAAACTCCAAGTGGACTAGTTCAATGTGCTTAGAAAGAGAATGCTTTTTGTATGTGTTTACACATCTAGGATGGACACACATGTGCATTATAACTTTTAGAAAATTAAAGACTCAAAACTAGCAAACTTCCAATACTTAAAAGAAATATTCAGGCAGTTTGGGTTTTTGAAATATACTGAGTAAAATTCGTTTTTAAAGAAATATACCCGTATTCCCACTTATACCACCACCAATATGCAATCATTTTTGAAGTATAAATATTTTGATAATTAAAGTCTGATGTAATTAAAACTAATTTGCAATGTTGTGTTGGTTCTCTGTTAGATGACGTCATAAAGGGCATCATGATGTCATGTTTATTCTACCCTGGGTGTAAATTTTCACCTCGGGCGCATTAAGCGTTATACGTAATAGACTGATGTTACAAAAACATCTCTTGAAATCGAAGATTTTAATTAGAGGAAACACGAACACGTCACCCTTCCCTGCTCCTTTGATTATTTTCTTGGAAGACAAAATGTTCTGGAAACTAAAATCAGTTAGTAATTTCTTAGCAAAAGAATGAATCTAGTCTTCTTAGAAAAGGGTTGCATCCTGCCAATTCTAGTCGTTTGTTCTTTAGAAGGTTGACTGATTACGAGAGATGTTAACTGTGTGAATTTTTATCAAAACTAATATCAGTAAACTCAATTTTAAAAATGGAGCTTATTGCCTGTGGATATAATGTATTGCATTTGTCATCTCTATTTCAAATGATTGACACGTGTATGAAGTAAACAAATCCATAATGAAAATATGAAATCTACAATTTTATATTAAAGTGATTTCATATTATCTCATGATAGATTAATGTTGCTTTATCTTTTTTGATGGCAAGGGGGTTTCCGAAAAGATTTTCTGACTATCTTTTCATAAATTGTCCAACGTGCCACTCGAATTCTATTTTTTTTAAATTTCATTAACCGATATACCCCAGAGATGTTCATTTTTTTCTCGGCAATTTAGGTTTATCGAGAGAAATTGCAATGGGGTGTCAGATTCCCTACCATAACTAGGAACACCCTCAACACGTGTTCATTGGCTGTGTTAAGTGGTGTTTTGGGAACTTTAGTAAATTGACAAAAGTGATATTTTTAAAGACTTTCTCACTATTTGCTCCTACCATTTAAACAAAATCTGTTTAAGCGATAAATTATATTTTACTCTTAGCAGCAATAAATTGTAATGAACTAGAGCTTTGGTAAAACCAAAAAAGGGAATAAATATGATTATATCTTTAAGACTTATAGGAAAGTTTATTTCTACTCCTCCCCTAAGCATTTCCTGCAGACGGTACTTTCCTGGGGCTGTCATGAAATTCCAGAAGATCTGTCTTTCCTTGCTTCCTCCATGATCATTCGATTAGTTTGCTGCTTTGGCATTTCGATTGTTTCCACGGGGATAATCAATTATCCCGGGGAAAAAAAGAAATAGGGAGAGAGAAAACATGGAAACAGGACGTCAGGAGGATCTCGAGTCTTAAATCACTCGGTACTCGGTATGAAGCCGATATTTCGAATGTAGCCACCATGAAAAATAAAGGCCCCTAAGCACCCGTCAAACTGATCAAGTTGAGAAGCTTAATCAATATTATTTTCGAATGTTAAATGTTGTAAAAAATAATTGGCATAACATATAGTGCGTATTTTACAGAATAAGTTTTATATAAGATTACAGAGAAGATAATTATGGAGATTTTTTTATTTATTGAACCCTTTACATTAGTGGTAGACAATATTTAAGAAATTCAGTGAGAATAATGAAAATCAAAAGCTCAAAATTCCGATGACCTTGGATTGATATAGGAATTGCACAACAGTCAACAAATTTATAGGCCCATTTTGTCTTGGTTAATTTATGTAAATTTATCATGGAACGAAGAAACATTAGTATATTGATTTCGCCATCCTTTTTTAATCACACATTTTTCCCGGTGTTTCGATGATACTCCTTATGTCGGGCCTATGCTTTTTAAATACGGTTTCATCAAAGAGGCTCCTTGGTTTCATATACAACCTTTCTACCCGTCTTCCGTGAGCACATGCACGTTGTAAAACCCAACACCTGTATACCTCTCTCTCTGACTGATTTTCTTTCTCACGTAACAAATCACATCAAATTATCGTCGGTAACAATCCTGGAGGCATCAGCTTTCCTGCGCTTTAGTTCAACCTAGATACCGACTTCCTACCCTTAAGTATCACATTTTTTCCCCTCTCTTCATCATCTTCTCTTTGGCAGGGCGGGGTAATAACGATCGACATTCAATGGAACTGCAATTTAGATCTGTCCTATAAACTCTGTTTGCCCAAATATCGCTTCATTCGGGCGGACGAGCAGGACGCGAAGATCGCCGGAGGCTTTAATTTCAGGTAATATGATATTTGCACGTTCCATTCTCGTATTTCCTTCATGTTTTTGTGCACGAGATAATCGGTAGTGAGAAAGTGATGTTATGCTGTGTTTGCTCTCACGCAGTTTGATTAGAGTTGATGGTGGTTGGTGTAGTTGTGAGTTCAATCAGGCAGGCCATCGAAATATCCAACATGGCGGAAATATTCAAATAGATAGTCACGTGATCCAATGCTTTTCACCTATTGGATACCGAAGCGGAAGAGCAAGAAGCAAACCAAGTGATTTTGACCCCCGAATATGGTGGCTCTCTGCTAAAGTATTTATCATGTTGAAATGTGTATTTATTGTTAGAATGTAGGAGAGTTTCATCAGGCGATGCTTTATGTTGGTTAAGTTGCTTGATCCGAATAAGTGTGTCGACAGAGTTGCTCTAAAGGTGTCTGAAGTAGAACCAAAAGTTACGTTATTTGATTGAACATTCTAAGCAAAAAAAGCTGATTTGCAACACAAATGCTGCCATAATTTATTCCTTTATTTATTTTTTTTATCAAATGATAAGCTGGTTCGACACACCACTCAGAGTAGGGTATGTATTTATTTAATGTTTGATCAAGAAATAAGCAAGTTGATTGCAATGGCATGATGTTGGCACATAGGTGGAATTGATTTAGGCCAGTGGAGCTATAGTTTTTTGGTAGATTGATTTTCATGTGCGTGTGCGTGTGTTTGTATGCACTGGTTAAAATATGCTATGAGATTACCGAATAAAACCAATTAATTAGCACATGGAAATGATAAAGAGAAAAGGGATCATATCTTCTTCTTTCAAAGCATATACAATAACAAAAAGTATCGTAATTATTTGCAATGACGTTCTTGTAAAACATTTAGAAGAGGTAACTTTTTGTATTATTTATTTATTTATTTGACATATTTATACAGGATAAAAAAGAAAAATTCGAATCAGCATAGCTGTTTTTCATCGATGTCCTGTTAACATGATTAAACATTTCCAATTTTAACTGATGCGATTCTTTTCATTACATCAATCAAAAAAATAAACAAAGCAATAGAAGAAAGATAAATATAAGGAAAAGTTCGTTTTACAGAACATTAATGAATAACCAATCATATTGACCTTTATTGTTTATCACCTAAAAGTATGCCAGGTAATTTCTATAAATTTACTATGATGATTTATTGAATAAGTGATTTAGATCAGCACAAATTGAAAATGATTATTATTAAATACGTTTCTGTCAAAACAACTTCTTTACAAATGATTTAGCTAATGGTCAAGTTCGTTGAGTGACTTTGATAAACAAAACCGCTTCGGAGGTCGAATATCTGTCATCTGTTAGAAGCATTTGAAAACACTGATGGAATGAATGCTTGCTGGAAGACCTTGTTGCTTTTATTTGATTGAATTTCAATTCAATACAAACATAGATTGTTCTCTAATTGCTGTTTAATGACGCACGAATTGACTCGATGTTTTACGTCATCCATGATCACCGTTCATTTTTCTTCTCATTTTTCTTGTTTATCTTTCTTTCTTATTTCTCATCCATCCCTTTCCCCGTTTGTTGATGGAATTGGACGAAATGTTTGGAAAGCTTTTTTCTTGTACTTTTTTTGGCATTATTGTGTCAACTGGTATAGAGGTCAAGCTTGATTGTGAAGAAGGAAACAAACCAGTCTTAAAACGACGTTGACCCCCCCCCCCCCTAAATATCAAAAACTCCTGTCAGAAAATCTGAAAGGAGAGATCTGACAAAATTTTAACGTATTTTGACAAGTTAACTAAATTGATGGCCACTCCTCCTTATTTCGTGGGAGAATTACATCACGTGGCGACAAATATCCTTAAATTAGTTGGGTGGAGGGGGAGGGGCTTCTGGGAAAGCTTGTTTGAGTAGTCGAGCTATTTCACATTGGATATGGTATTGGGGCACCATTTCATTGATACTCCTTGCAAATATCCAATTCGAAAATATCGATGCGATACCTTTGACATAACATTTCTAAATTAAGTCTCGGATAACAATTTTAAAAAATGGAATGCACCTTGTGCAAGACTTTGACAAAAAACAAAAGGAACATTGAGGTAACAAAAATATCTCTGATTTAAAAAAAATCGACATTCTCATTCATGCCTCTTTTCAAGGCACCACAAATCTGCTTGACCTGTATACTTTACTTTTTTATTTTTATCAATTGTAATTTTGATGTATGTAGTGAAGAAACAGTGGCTATTCGTGATGTCATGTACACGTATTTGGCTTGTAGCCGTGGTGTTGTGTAAAAATCAATGTCTGGAATTGTCAAACAGCACACTGTCAAAATATGTTTATTTTTTATCATCCTTCTTGGACCTGACCCCCCATTTCACATGCATGACAATCAAATCATCCAAAGCATTTGTAAAACTGTGAGAAAATGTTTTGTCTCACCATGAAATTGGAATAATTTGTAACCTTAAACAAATATTTTGTTATTTCAAAGCAAAATGAACAAAGTAAAAAAAAAAAAAAAATACTCAAAGACGGCACCACGGTTACGTAAAACAAAAAGCAGCTTAAATGTGAAGTTATGCGCTAAATACGTGTTGACCGAGTTACGTCACTAATAGCCAATGAATCAGGTTTCACTTTTACCCAGATTTGGGAAATTCTACAGAATCAACGACACGGAATACCGAGACTTGACCAAGGCGTACGGCATCCTCTTCCAAGTCAAGATCACCGGCGTGGCTGGCAAGTTCGACATCGTGCCGCTCATGTTAAACTTCGCATCGGGCGTTGCCCTTCTTTCATTGGTAAGAATTATTTAATCATGTAATCAATGTATAGTGATATAATGTTAGTGTTACATTGTCACGTGATGGGTGATGAGTGATATAATCATTCTATGTGAAAATGATAATGAATGTTGGTGACGTGTTTTATTGTGGCCCTCATGTTAAACTTCGGATTAGTGTTTCGCTCCTCTCATTGGTATGACTGTGTGGCATGAACAGGTCATGTGACAAGATCATATAATGGTCATATTTGATATGAAGATGATAATGAACGTTGGTGATATGTTTCAATGTACCGCTCATGTTAAACTTCGCATTTGGGGTTTCCCTCATCTTAATGGAAAGGACATGTGGCATGGCAATGTCATGTGACAAGGTCACCTGACACTTTCATCATGATATAGTATGTGATGAGTGATTGATCGTGTAATAAGTGATATGTGATGTGACCATGTGGTATATCATGTGACATATTTCTGCGACATAATTATGATATGTGATACGGCGATGATATAACAATAGAGCCATTAGTGTCATGTCGAGAAAAAATGAAATTGTAAGAGACTTATCTGCTTAAAATGATGTACTTGCTTTCATCTGGATGAATATCGATATGCAACTGAGGCACTAATTATCAGACCTTTTTTTTGCGTTTGTTTGTTATAGCGTCTCTAAAGCTACCTTTTCGCAAAATCTATAGTTATAATTAAAGAAATTCAGAAAAAATCTAATAAATGATTGTAAATCCTTTAAAATCTTTCCTCCACAAATTTTGTCCAGATTTCGTTCTTTCCCGTAACATTCCTGATACACTATGTTCGTGACAGCCCGATGCCATTTACCTCGATTTTAATATTGCACTCGCTCTATTCCCTCGTTAATGACCGGTAATGACCAGGCGAACAACCTCACGGAATAGAAGAATTACCGCCATAATTGACAATTGCAATTCGTCGTTCTGAATTACGAGGGGTACCTTCTCCCTGACCACCCAATAAACAAAATCACGTGAAAATCACGTCAATATCAAGGTATCGACTTGAGGAGAGTTACGTTCTTCAAACACCGGACATTTACGTAAATGTGTTAATACGTTTATTGCATTAGGTAACTTGAAACAAACGTACACTAAATCACGCAATTGTCACTGCAATATCACCATTATAATAACGTGATTATCCCTACCTTGGAGACCATGGTTTGTAAACCTAATACTCCCGTGTTTGTTTGGTTATGAAATTACATCTTCATACACGAAATTATCGCGTCACAGAAACACGTGAAGCGTTAGTGATAGTTTTAGTCAAAATATCTGCGTGAAATTCACGTGAATATTACGAGGCTGACTTGAGATGAATCATGTTCTTCATTCACGTGAAATTTACGTCGAAGAGGAAGTATGTTACTGTAACCCGCGTTCAACCCAATAATTACGCAAATGTTACACAATAAATGAACCAAAATAATGACGTTCTCATCCCGTTTCTGAACATCGTGTCTTGGATCTTCCATAATTACGTCCAGGCGCGCTGGAAGCAGTTTGGGATTAGAGGGGGTTGGGTGGGGGGGGGGGGGGGAGGGGGTGGGTGCAAACATCCCAGAAGAGAAAGCTAGTTGCAACTGGTCCAGTTGATGAACCATTTAATGCCAACTGGTAACCCTGGAAATTGAAATGGACTAAATGATCCAGTTGATCCAGGCCAGTTATAATTCAACTGATCTAGCTGAGCCATTAGAACCATTTGGTAAAACTTCCAACCAGTTGAACAGCAACAATACTTCAATACTGGTACGTCTGTATTTCCAATGTAAGGGCATTGGTAATAAGTAGACTTACATAATTGAATTAATCGAACAAATTTCGTATACTTGTACTTTATTGAAATTATTTTAGTTCACAGTTAATGTTTCCCTTATTCATGTTTAACTATTTATACGAAGTAGCGAAATGTCCTAATAACTGGTAATTTATATTTGTAGTATTTTCGAAATGAATTGCATATAACTAAATCATCAGTAATTAACAAATATGCTGTAAATTCAGATAAATTGTTTAAAAAACATAGATCTGCACGCACCCCATATTCAATATGCAAATGAATTGGTGTCAGCTGGGTCAACTCGAAATATGCCAACGCTCAGTCATCAACTGGTACAACTGGAAATATGCACACTCCAGTTATCAACTGGTGCAATGAAAATATGCCAACAGTCAGTTATCAACTGGTGAAAATAGAAATATGCCAAAAGTCACGGGATTATCACCACGGAACTTAAATAGTAACTGTGAAACCATCAAGACACCCAAGAATAACTCATTTTCACACATGAAAAACACGGAATGCCCAGCTTATATTAATAATCCGTTTGAGTCACGCGATCATCACCGCGGAACTGCTGGCAACTTTGACTACGATTTAAATAGGTGTTTTGAGACACCTAATCATGACTAATTTTTCACACCTAAAAGTCACGTATGCCCAGCTTAGATTAATAATCCGTTTGAGTCACGAGATCATCACCGCGGAACTTATGGCAACTTTGACTTCCATTTAAATAGGTGTTTTAAGACACCTAATAATGACTAATTTTTCACACCTAAAAGTCACGTATGCCCTGCTTAGATTAATATTCCGTTTGAGTCACGAGATCATCACCGCGGAACTGCTGGCAACTTTGATTACCATTTAAATAGGTGTTTTAAGACACCTAATAATGACTAATTTTTCACACCTAAACATCACGGATTCACAGCTTAGATAAGTAATCAGTTTTAACTACGTGATCATCACCAAGAAAGTTATGATAACTTTGAAACCATTTAAATAGGTGTTTTAAGACACCTAATAATGACTAATTTTTCACACCTAAAAGTCACGTATGACCAGCTTAGATCAATAATCCGTTTGAGTCACGAGATCATCACCGCGGAACTTATGGCAACTTTGACTACCATTTAAAAAGGTGTTTTAAAACACTTAATAATTACTAATTTTCACACCTACATATCACGTTTTCACAGCTTAGATTAGTAATCAGCTTGAGCCACGTGATCATAACCAATAAATTTATGGTAACTTTGAAACCTTTTAAAGAGGTGTGTAAGACACCTCAGAATTACTAGTTGAATATAACCAGAGATTCACGGACAGAACAATAAGACGATTAGCCGGTGTAAGTAACGTGATTATTACCATCAACCTTGGATAACATGTGAAACCAATCAATAAAGGTGCTTACAAGACCAAATAATTACGTATTTATCGCCACCATCGGTTAACTGACAAAAAAATCGTTGCTTGGTCAAGTGGTAATTTGGTAATAAACACTTGATTTACAGAGGTAAGTGGAATCACGTTACTCCAGTCGCGTGATAAACTGGTGGTTTTTAGGTTAGATAAAAACGTGAACAGGAGTACCTTTTTTGTTTAAATGAAAGCATGTGTCGATAACGTTTAAATCTAGTTCAAAGGGCACTATACTTTAAAATCACTTAAAATACACTCCCAAAAGAGGTTACATTTTGGTGTTCTGTTTATTGGGCAGTAGATGATCAGATAAGGGGTTATTCGTTAACTCGAAGGTTCGTAACTTCGAACATTTGATGCATTACTCCGAGGGTTCGTTATTATAAAGGGTCGTAATTCCGAAAATTGTATGTGTGTGTGTGGAGGGGGGGGTGTTATTGGGTTTTTACAGACCTGTATCAATCAGATATGATTATTTACGTCTGGGGACCGACCTTTAACGTCACCATCCGAAAGTCGTGAATTAAATGGGGGACACTTATTAGTAAATTCCGTAAGTCCTAAAACGATTCAGAGTTCTATTTCATGTTCTGAAATTATGAACCCTCAGATGTAACGCAGATAAAAAAAAACAGTCAGAATTTTGTCCGGATAGTGAAAACTGTAGGGATTGTGGTAACAGGGTTAATGATAAAGGAGCTCCAGTACTCTTCAGTGCAACCTTAGCAACGTTAAAATGAATTTCAGAAAAGGAACAACCATTACATTTCTGATTTTCTGAGACCACTGAAATGTCTTTGAGTTTCAAGAGATGACGCCAATTAAATGAATTGGTTGAAAGTCTTGCTTTTTATAACCTAGTGACGAAAAGCGTGTTTTTCCTATTTCAAATAATGTAATAAAGCACCGCGGTTATTCTTTCTGGCGCCTGTTTAAGATATAACGTCTTTATAATGTCGGCATATAACGAAAATGTATTGCTTTGTGGGATTTATCAGACAATAATTGAATTCTTGAATTATAGAAGCGTTAATTCGAGCGACCTAACAACATTGATGGTTCCACGAATATTCGGACAAATTTAATATCCACTAGGTAATTGTCACTTTCTATCTACTTTGACCATTTCACAAGCTCATAATGATGTCACTATCGCGTGTTGGTAGTCGAATGATGATTGAAATGTTTTCCCGGAAAGCCTCATCGAGTTTTAATGGTCTCCTTCAACACAAGTTTTTGTGGAGTGCCATACTCCAAATTGTTTACCAGAAGAGGTTAACTAAAAATGTGTTTCGTTACTGCATCGTGCAAAAACTCGTAGTTCCTTTTAATTGAAATGAGGTGGTTTGTTAAAAAGTAACAACAAAACCGGAGTGAGAGAGTGTTGAATACATTGTGTGCGGGTAAACTTAAATCCAGTGATCGGTGTAATGACATTTCTGTAATTAAAAGCGCTTAGAGAAATCGTAGAAGATTTAAGCGCTATATGAACACAAAACACTATTATCATTACGGCCAGAGAGTATTTGTTATACCGAACATGAATCAATGCACTATCTATTAATTTAAACAAAAATATCCAGGACCCCCACGCGTTAAAAACATAAAAACTTATCTTATACATTACAAGTCTACCTACTGCAACGTTTTTTTGTTGTTGTTGTTGTTTGGGGGGGGTAGAAAATTCATTATTTTTAGAAATGGGGGCATTTACATGTTTTATCACGCGCATAATAAGCACCTAACATCAGACAAATCGCATACATTATGGAAAAAAAGGAAAAGCACATGAACTATCACTCCCATGGTGTCGAATGTATGTGGTAAAGAGCAATACCCATACACAGAACACAGACACATGAACATTGATGTTAACATTTCGTAACATTCCACCGGAGCAGAAATGCCTGATCTAAAGGAAGAAAAAAAAAAGATGTTAATATCCAATAGAATGTGGGAGAAAAGCACATTTTCCCCGCTTTGTTACTTGCACCTGGACCATATGCAGACTTACGTCATGGTAATTGGTTCTCGAACTGAAGGGAATCCGTACTGATGATGTAAATGCTTCATTCAGACAGTCTGTCAGCGTTGCCCATTTGGACATTCTTCTTTAAGCAGAGAGTGCAATTAGTGTCACAAGACGGGTAATAGCAAAGATAAGAAGCATGACTCGGGTGTACCCTCACCCATGACACATTGTTATAACATTCATCGCCCTGTGATGGTTGTATATACGAAACTAACACCCCCTTTACAATAATTGAAACCTGAGATATTCCACCGTTGAGGCACGGATGAGGGAATTCAGAAAAGGAAACCGGTTTTCGCTGTTAACCAGTTACACATCAACACGATCATTTTCATATCGAAAAATATATTACATTTAAATGACGTGGAAAGAGTACCAACCCCAATTTTTTTTTC